TCCTCTCCTCTCCTCTCCTCTCCTCTCCTCTCCTCTCCTCTCCTCTCTTCCCCTTCCCTTCCCTCTCCTTACAGGTATTTTACTAGAATAAAACGTTTACCATGTCCCTGCCCTGCTCAGAGTGATTTGGTGACTCTGCATTCAGTGAGAGATTAGGTCAGCCCTAGGGAATACAAAGACTTTGGTCAGCCTGAGCCTTGGGCCTAAGCCTGAGCCTTGGGCCTAAGCCTGAGCCTTTTGCCTCTGAGATTGGCATTGTCCCCTCTATGGGCCTGTAGGCGTCCATATTCAGTTGTACTGCTTCACAGATACTTGTCCATCCTCAAGAGCACATGTCCCAACCATGGTCCTGGCACCCAGAACAGCCTACTGGAGGCAGGCACCAGACTCTGGCTTTCAGTGTTGGATGGGCCTGATTCTCTGGTCTCCGTGGGGTTGGGCAGCACCTAGATAGGGCAGATACTGCATATACTTTATTAGTGCAATGGTGAATCAGTGAGCTGGTTTCCACTCTGCATGTTTAGAAGGTGAGTTTACAGGTATTTGGAAGAGGGTGTGCGTGTCAATTTTGATCAAGAGGCATTTATTTATCAGTCTGTAGGGCAAGATGCTTGGGCAGGGTATGTAGGGACAGGGTCCTGGCCTCCCTATTGCAAATACAGACCTGCATCTTCCACTAGCCAGGTGGTGACCAGCAACAGACCTTGGGTTAGCATCTGCATAGAGCTCCTAATTTGCCTGGCTTTGATCCTCCCTTCCTCTTCTCTTGTTCAAATTTCCCTCATAGACAAATGGTACCCCAGATCCTCAGGCCATGTATCACCTCCAGAGCAGATGAGACCACCTCCCTAGGACTTGGAAGATTCTATCCTCATATACCTACACTCTACGTATCTGTGACTCTGTGAGTCCCTGCTCCAGGAGTTGGCTGTCACTTCACATACCTGTTCTACATAGATTAGCGCAGTACCTAGGTGTCAACTAAAGCTTTGATATGCCTTGTGTGCTTTTATTATGGTCTTAAGAGCGACACACAGGGCTTTCATATGTCTGGAGTACAGGTTAATGTGGCCTAGCAAGCACTGCTGGGAGCCATCATCAGATAAAAACCCACAGAATGTCACACATCTCCTGACCCACAGACAACTGAGTTGAGGACTGGGGTAGGGCGGCATGAGTCCTCGGAATCCTTGAGCCCTTTGAAAACAAGGTAGCATTGAAAGGGACACACTGCCCGGAGTCCTTTGCACATCTGGTGGGAATCTGGAGCAGTATGGCAGATGTGATCTGGGGTCTTCACTGTCCATCCCCCTCAAGAGGAGCAGACCAAGGTCTCCTCCAACAGAGAATGAGGTCCTGGGATCCCAGGTCTGAAACTGTCATGGATACTAATGGCTGAACTCTGGCTGAAGTCAGGATCTTCTGAAGATGCCTGCCCTGTAGCAGGCAGCCCAGCTCTTTCAGGGCAGCAGGTGCCTGTGGTCTGTTGGGTGGTGGGCTTCAGGAACGGTCTGAAGGTCAGGATACGGAGTTCAGATCTCCGTGAGAAGGTCCTTCCCCAACTCCTGCCTTTTGTCAGTGTCCAGAGGCATGTATCCTGGGCCCCCTTCCTGCCTTTGTTTTCACTCTGCAGGTTCTCGATGGAGCTGGAGGGTGGCTAGTGCTCATCAGGTGGCTGACAGGCCGTCTCTGCTTGGCAGTATTCTTGGTCTCTCGGGTTCTACCTGCTTTATCTTCTTTCCCAAGCTGTTTGTTCCCCTCTCCTATTACCCTCTGCAACCTTGAGACCCCTTCTTCTGGAAGACAAACCACCCAGCAGAAGCCACTGGAATTGGGTTATATGTGTGGGCGTCAAGGCTGCTGTTGCTGTTGCAATACCTGTATGGGATGCAGAGCTAGAAGTTCTGTGTGTGCTGACATCTTCCTCTGGAATCTGGTGCTTCATGGTCTGCTCTCATCTCCTCAGGTTATATACATACATATATATCACAGTTGGTTGGTTGGAAAGAGCCCTCACATGAGGGCAGACTTCACATGGGTCCAGGCAAGGGCTCCTGAGTGGGTCCTGGCCTGCGACCTGGGAGCCATAGTGTGGCAGCTGGCTGTGTAGTCCTAAGCAGGATTCAGGGACTGGTGGGAGGGCGTGCCAACCCGTCTGCTCATCCAACTGGGTTCTGGTGAACTGGGTAGCAGGCTCATGTCTGGAGAAGCATGATTCCACCTAGGAGGAGGCTCCCAAAGCCTGGGCTAGTCTCTGCAGCACCTTGCGCAATGCCTGCTTGACCTCCTGGTTCCGCAGGCAGTAGATGATTGGGTTGATTAGGGGTGTGAGCACTGTGTAGACAACCGACACGAGCTTGTTGTAGTCAAAGGAGTAAATGGCCCGTGGCCGGGCATAGATGAAGAGGGAGGCTGAGTAGAAGATGACCACCACGGCCAGGTGCGAGGCGCAGGTGGAGAAGGCCTTCTGCCTGCCCCCGGCGGAGGGCATGCGCAACACGGTGCTGAGGATGGCTGTGTAGGAGAAGACAGTTAACACCAGGGGCCCCAACAGGATGAGCAGTGCCAGGAGGAAGTCGACGAGCTCTGCCACGGACATGTCAGAGCAGGCGAGGTTCAGTAGCGGGGACACATCGCAGAAGAAGTGGTTCATGATGTTGGGGCCGCAGTAGCCCAGGCGGGAAATGAAGAAGACCTTCCCCAGGGAGATGGTGAAGCCAGAGAACCAGGAACCACCAGCCAGGAGGCTGCAGAGACCAGGGCTCATGATGGCTGGGTAGCGAAGGGGGTTGCAGACGGCCACATAGCGGTCGTAGGCCATGACCCCCAAGAGCGCGCACTCGGTGCAGGCTAGCGCCAAGAAGAAGTACAGTTGCGCCATGCAGCCTGTGAAGGAGATGCGCTGGAACTTGGGTGAGAGCAGACTGAGCAGCATTTTGGGTACGGTGACGGAGATGTACCAAACCTCTAGGAAGGACAGGTTGCTGAGGAAGAGGTACATAGGTTTGTGCAGCGAGGGACTGGCATAGATTACTGTGATGATAACCAAGTTCTCTGTCACAGTCAGCATGTAAGCCAACAGGAAGAGCCATAGAAGGCTTAGGTGGAGCCCCAGGGAGCCTGGAAATCCTATCAGGATGAATTCAGTCACATCTGAGCTGTTGTTTCTGGCAGACATGATGGCCACGACGCCACCTGAGGGAACAGAGGGAGAAGAATGAGGTGTGGGAGAGGCCAGCAACCTTCTGAGCTGAGTTCCCTTGGGTACAGAAGAGACGGCATCCTCCTATGCCACAGTCCCCCACCATTACTGCCTACAGCTTGGCTCACACAGGGTGTAACCAGGCTTGCTTCTTAGGGCTGACAATTCAGCTCAGCAAGTATCAGACAAACACCGTCCATCCTGGAGGGCATATCCTGGCACTGTGAGGCTGTCTCTGAGGCTTGGCTATAGGAAGTAGCAAATAACTATTGGGATGGTGGCTTTGGACACTTTCCAGCTCTAGGCTGACTTTTCTAGGCTCAAGGCACATCCCCTGAGTTAGGGAGAGGCTGTGGCTGGGGTCACTTTAGGCCTAGGAATTACTGAGCAGGGGCCAGCACTATCAGGAGAAGGGGCTGAGGCTGTTTTAGAGTAAGTGGCCAGACTTGAGGAAAGGTAACAAGGAGGGAGTTCTGGTGAGAAGGGATATGTGGTCAGTAATAAGAGTAAGGCCCAGCCAGAGGGCTGGTGGCTCAGCAAGATTTACCCCTTAGGATTCAGCTCCACCTTGCAGCACTGGGCTTAGAGACCCTGCAGAGGGTGGAATTGCTAAAGACAGTCACATTGAAGATAGACATAAGCTTCCTTTTTTGCCTTGCTGAGGAGTGAGATCCTCCCTCTTAGCTGGCTCAGGGGCTTCCTACGCTAGGTTAGGCCTTCTGAAACATGGGTGCATTTAGTCACCATTTGCACGTACAGACAAATCCATGTATTTGGGGCTGGGGAGATGGTTCAATGCATAAAGTGCTTGATACTCAAGCATGAGATTCTGAGTCTGGATTTCCAGAACTCATGGAAAACTGGACACAGTAGCATGTACCTGTGATTCCAGCATTCTCACAGAGAGATGGGAGGCAGAGATAGGAGACTCCCTAGAAGCTCACAGAGGAGCTGGCCCGGCGTGTGCAGTAGTGGAAAAGAACCGTGTCGAAACGAGGTGGAAGGAGAAGACTGGCATCTGAGGCTGTACTCTGGTGTTTACATATGTGCCACAACATGTATGTGTCTCTGTGCTCACACACATGAACATACACACACATGGGTTAAAACACAAATACATAAATAAATCTATTCACTTGGAGTGGCTGGAAACATTTCTGTTTGTTTCCATGGTTACTGTCTTGGCTGTCCTTGCTACATCCTCACATGGCTACACAGGGAAGCCCAGTTAGTTTGCCGAACACATTGGCTCATTTCACAGAGAACACATCAGTCCAGGTGTAGCCGAGGACCAACCGCCAGGCTTTCCTCCATATTCCTTCTGTCTCTAGGGTGCTGTTAATAAGCACAGCCGGTGACCAGCACAGAATCCAGCCTCCACCTACTCTGCAGTCCCCAGGTGTCGCAGGAAGATATTCTCAGACTAGGGACCAAGCTAAGCCTCAGGACAGAGCCTAGAGTATAGAAGATGCTGCTGTAGGGGCCTCTGGCACTAGTCAACAAACAGATCCTCCCAGGGTAGCAACTCTGTCCTGCATCCTGTGAAGCGGCATTTGGAGTAAAAATGCATGATGGACTCCTGGGAGGGTGGCTTCCTAGGTACCCTCTGTACTGCTCCAAGAATCCGGTGCCTCCAACATATCTATTGATGTACAGTTTCTCTTCCAGAGACCACAGATGTAGCAGAATACTAGGGCAGGAGCTGGGCTCACATGCCATCCTTTCCTTGGGCTGTGACTTTGGACAGGACACCTACACACAAGCCCCATACTCTTCTGTTAATCAGGGCTATGGTGTAATCCTCACTGGGCTACCTTGACAAGCCATAGTAGACACCATTCCTGATATAGCTGCTCACAGAATAGATGGAAGGCACACTCTAGGAATATGGAATCACATAGGTTACCTGCTCTGCTGGCTCCTTGGAGCAGGGAAGGTCAGGATGGTTGGTAGGTACTAGTCCTGAGCTGGCTGGGTAGGACAAGTTCACTGCCAGTATGGGTACAAAGGGTACCATGTGATGGAAAGGTCTGGGTAGGTCTAAGCAGGGTCAGGCCTGATCGTCTGGGAAGGTCTTCGAAGGTCAGGTCCGGTGGTCTGGTTTGCTACAGAGACCCTTTGCATAGCTGGATCACTGATACTGCTATCTCTGACTGACCGGTCTGGGAGCTGAGCTAGGAAAAGCCAGGTCTTTCCCTGATGCAGCCCTTGCGACCCACAACAACTGCTTTCTGCTGACATCTGCTGCCCATCAGCTGTGGGCATGGGCCAAATACCTCATTCTTCCGGCTAGTTCTTTCTCTGAGAGAAGGAGCAAGTGTCGCTTTATGCGACGGGAAGCACCTCTGGATTCCCAGCAGCAAGTCTAAGCTTCTGCCCCGTGGACAGGGGCAGACAAACTGGAGGCTGCTGGGGACCCAGGGCTGCTGGGGAGCCTGGAGCTGTAGAGCTTCCTGCCCTGGATTTGGAGACGCCCTGGACAGGTACCCAGGAAGTTCACATGTCCGTGCTCCTCCAAACTCAACACCTAATAAAGCAACCCTATAGTTAACTTAGGCTCACTTACAGGGCATCTAGTCTTATCTTCATGCCACATGAACACATACCCAGCACAAGGATAGCAGACTCCTGCCACATAGACAGGCGTGACCCCCAGGCTAATCTACTTCGGGCACGCACAGATATCCCAGGGAACAAACATCAAGCTCCCAGCCCCTACACCTCCCCCCCCTCATTGCCCATACAAGTCAGTGGACAAATACAACTTTGAAATAGTGATAATCTTAAAATCACAGACATATTGCCCCCTCACATGGATATCTGCTCAGAAGGATCATGGTCACCAGAAATCAGCCCCAGACTTACTGCTCAGCTAGGCTACAGCTACAGCTCAGACTCATACAGACATGTGCAGGCACCCCCCCCCCATATGTGAATACATGTGTGCAACCAGGGTGAGGCATATGTAAATGCAAGTGCACATGCAAGTGTACACATAGACAGATGCACACAGATACACACACAGATCCTCACAGATGCATAAAGGCACACACACACAGGTGAACACTCAGCACATATGTAAGTAGACACATACACATGGCAATGCACAGTCACACACAGATTCTCATGTGCATACACAGGGGTGCACATAGACACACTCATGAACACATGTACTTGAAAACCCACTCTCTCCAAGCTCTCACCTGCGTGGGGGTTGTTTAGGTGATGGATCTGGAGGTTTGAGTCTATTCTGACTGCCAGGCACTAAGAAGGTGCCAAGGGCTTCATGGCTTTGTTCAGCATTTCCTGAAGAGTCAGTGTTGCTTCTGGGACCTTACCCTTGACGATGCAGAGGTTCTCAGAGTGAGAGATGGTGACTCATGGTATTGGAGGGAGATGGGGGATCAGAACTGTGTTAGAGATGACTGAGTGTCCGACTGTAGGCTCCCAGGACCCCCTGAATGTTAAGTGAAACCTTCCAGGAGAGGGAGGTGGGTTTTTCTCTTGGATGGTGTCCAGCTTCTCCGTCACTGTCTAGGTCTGTTGCAACAAGATCAGAACAAACCTAGAGTTTCACTGCACAGGAGACCCCACTCAACAAAAGACACCCCTCACATCAGAGACAACTATCAAAGGCCAGAGACAAAACAGTAGCTCTTCCAGCATTCTGTCACTCCAGAAGGGTGGGAGTCGGGACACTGTGTTCTCAGGTCCCACCCAGCCCTACACCCTCAGTGTGGGGAAGGCAGCTGAGAGCTGGGGAGCTGCAGCCTTGCTCTATCTTGCCTCAGCCAAGTTTCCAAGGGCGTGTGTGTGTGTGTGTGTGTGTGTGTGTGTGTGTGTGTGTGTGAGAGAGAGAGAGAGAGAGAGAGAGAGAGAGAGAGAGAGAGAGAGAAGCCCTTACGGCTCCTGGCAGAGCAGCTCACAGGAGAGGGCTGGCCTAACTGGAGCTGTGCAGAGGGTTGGAACTGGGAGGAAGGAGCAGAGGCCACGCCCTGTGCCCATCCCTGGATGATTTCTCTCATCTTATCCTCATGTGGTCCTCTGAGATCATGCTTGTCAGCCAGACTGGCTGTACTAGGAGGAGATGGACACTTGCCCCAACCAAAGACCACAGAGGGCAGGGCAGGCATGTGAGGTATTGCCATGACAAGAGCAAACAGCCCGCTTAACACCTAGTATGGAACCTAAAGAGCAAATCACCTGGTGGGGGGGTGGCCCTGGGCCTTTTGCCCCTATGCTCCACTTCAGTATCATCAGGATCCTGGGTTTAGAGCCCCTCTTTCCTGCCTGTTCAGAGCTGTTATGTCTCATCACCACTTCCTGATTCCTGGGCTGTCTCTTTTGAGGATTATTGGGTGGGATCAGCTCTTAAGGGAGACACAGGACCTTCTGCCTTAGCACCAGCACCGAGGGAGGACCACATTCATGGGTCTGCCCTTGCTGAGGGCTGTGGTGTACTATCTCTGCCCCTTGACCATGACAGGTATGGCGGGTATCTTTCCAAGTGTGCCCCCTGGGGGAGGTTTGGCTTGAAGCTCCATGGTGATATTGTCTGCAAGTGAAGGGGACAGAGGGCAGTGGGTAGTGAGGGAACAGTGTCTGACTCTGGCAAGGGAGCTTCAGCCCTGGCGTGTCTAGGTAGAAGGGAGGCCATTCCCATTGCAGAGGGTAGTGACCAGCTTCCTGTGGCTAGGGTTCCTGACACTTATCTCATAGTCACGGGTTTGATTGCTGATGCAGTCCAAACCCTGGGGACTGCCTGGGCCCAGCATTCTTGGCTCCATGATGCCTGCCTCAAAATCAACTTACAAATATTAGTTATTCATTTGCTCCTCAGACCTGTTTGTGGGGTTCCAGATTCCAGATTCAGCGCATTCTAGATTTCTTCAGGGATCTCAAGAATGAGGATGAGATGTCATAGGTTTTGATAAAGGGCGGCTTTATGGTGGTGGTGGTGCAGGGGGTGGGGCAGTGGTACAAGTAGGGGCTGTTTGGAGCG